CTGGATTTAAAAAAAAAAAAAAAAACTTTTGTTCCTTGTAAATAAAGGAAAAAGTCAGCCCCATCCTGGAAAGAAAGCCCCTTCTTCACACCTTGTGGAGCTATTTTTGCTGTTCTCTCATCTGTCACAACCTGCCTCTGGAAATAATTTCTGTCTTGAAATTCAGGGTCCTCTCTTCCTGTGTGGCAGTAATTCCAATTTGCGTCTTCCGGGCAGTTGGACAGAAGTATACACCCTTGCTTCTGGCCCTGAGGTTGAAATCATATGGGACAAAATCCTAATGTCCTGAGGGAGCAAGGAGCAATAAACAGAGCCCAGGGAGAGCTGTTGTCTCACTTGTAAATTCCAGAAAGCTGGAATTCAAGGCTGCAGATAGCAGCTTCTCCTGCAGGCACCCTGTTTGTTATTCCACCCCTTGCTTGAGACATTAATGGCTAGCACTGTGTAAAATGAAGAGTTTAAGTAAATGCTCACGTCAAGAGAATAGTTTGTGTTCACCAAAGCAGTTCTGAACATTCCTTAGCCTGCCTTTAGCCCTCACTGAATGTGAGATGTTTCTATGGCTCTGGGCTCACTAGAGAAAGACTAATCTCAGTGAGATCTCTGAATCTATGTTCATTGGGTCTTATCATTTCTTTCAGCACTGACCCATAACATGCAACAGTCATCCGGGTTTTGCCCTGGGTGTTTATTTATGTCCCTCTCTTCTACCCCTAAAATTTTCTTGAAGGAGCCCACGGTGCCCCAGAGTCCTAGTAACACTGCCACAAGTAACTTCTCCCAGTTAATCAAACTAAGCAAATGCCATCTCTAAATGTGTCGTGGCTCCCACCTGTAATCCCAGAATCCTGGAAGGCTGAACCAGGGTGTCTGAATTTCAAGCCCCATTTGGGAAATTGAGGAAGACTCTATCTTCAAATTTAAAAAATTTTAAAAGGCTAGGGAGGTAACTCAGGGCAAAGGCCTGGGTTTATTCCCTGTAGCACAAAATCACAATAAGTCCAGCACATGTCTGGTGATGTAGCTGGCTTTCTTGTTTGAAACCTCTGTTCTATCCTTGGCTGGACTCAGGGGCACACACCTGTAATTCCAGCTTTCTAGGATGCTGAGGCAGGAGAAGTTTAAAAGAGGGGGTGGAGTAGGGATGTAGCCTAGTGCAAAATGGGGAAAATGTTCCTAGTGGAACATTTCATCCTCACTGAGGTCATCTTCAAATACTTCTGCTCTCAGTTTATTATTTTCAAACATTCTGCATTGTAAAATGAAACCAGAATCCACCCTCACAGTGGTCTTAATACTTCAGAAACTGGATGGGTACAGAAAAACACACACACACACACACACACACACACACACACACACACGCAAACTAGCTTTAGAAAAAAAGCCTAGTTCTAAACATGAGTCCAGAATTAAATGCAAGAATGAATAGAGAAATAAGTAAAATTAATCATGTTTAATTTCTCTTTCTGTTGCCTTTACCCGCAATCCTTCATTAGTATTACTATTAAGAGGAACTCTGGAGTACCCTTAGCAGCACGAAGGCTCTGAACCTTGGTCTCTAGCTTTGCTTGACTTTACGCTCAGTTTTCTTGGACTACCTGCAGTCCCGGGGGTGACTTCTGTATTCTGATGCTCAGAAAAACAAAGAGCACAGCAGGTGTGGTAGTACACCCTGTAGGTCCCAGGACTCCGGGCGGCTAAAGGAGGAGGATCACTGGTTTGAGCTCAGCTGAAGCAATTTAGTGACCTAATAAGACCCTGTCTTAAAATATAAATAAATAAATAAATAAATAAATAAATAAATAAATAAAATGGCTGAAGATGTCACTCAATGGGAAGGCCCTTGAGTTTAGTTCCCAGCTCCACCAAAGAAGAAAATAGTCTACCTATATTAAGCACAATTCTTAACTAGGCTGTTCTGAGCCAACTGAGAAATGCTTTCCTGTAAGATCTCTGTTGATCTTCACTCAGCAGACAGATGGGAGGTACAGAGCAGAATGGTGTGTTATAATTTGTCTATGCTTATTTGAAAAACAAAATATTCTAAGTGAATTATCTCATAGCACTTTTTTCCTGGGGCTGCTCTAATGTTGTTCCATCAACTGGGAGACTTGAACAACAGAAATTTATTCCCTCTCGGTTCTGTATTTTATAAACTCAAACTGTCAGCAGGGCTGGTCTTCTCTGTGCCATGTCTCCCTTCCCTGGCTTCTGGTGATCCTGGCAGCTACCTTGAATCCTGGCTAAAAAGAAAGGTAACAAGTGCTTGCCTGGCAAGTGCAAGGTCCGGAGTTTGATCCCTGGTACAAGAAAGAGAGAGAGAGAGAGAGAGAGAGAGAGAGAGAGAGAGAGAGAGAGAGAGAGAGAGAAAAGTGGCAATGATGCATTGAAATACTGGCAGAGATTAAATAAATTTACAAGGTAAATTCTACTTCGATGGAGAAAAGGATGTGGATATTGATAGTCTAGTTAACTGATTTCAAGAATATCTTTTGCTTTCAAACATTGATGGTATTTAAACCTTCACAAAGTTATTAAAATCTGAGAACTCTGCCAACTCAGGTGGAGTGTAAATAGAGATCAGTATAAACAAGATCTTGTCTGTCCTTGCCTACTTTTCTTGTTCCTGAGTGGAGAACCATGACCCTGGAAGGACAATAAGAGCCAACACATTGATGCTGATTTTATTGATGTTTTGAAGGTCAAGAAAGGAAAGATAAAGAAGTATACACTGTTGAAGAGTCCACAGTCACCAGCTTATCTCCATTAATTTCTGAAACAAAAATGAAGGTTTTTAGACAATAATAAATTAGCCTGTGGACATAACCTATGCCAGATAGCTTTATCATTAATTAGTTTCATTTTGGGTAACTAGAGTAAGAGAGAGGAGAAAGAAGAAGGGGCAGAGAACTAAGAGAAGGAAGGGGCTAGAACAAGAGAATGAGGAAAGAGGAGAAGATAAAGGAGGAGAGAAGTGGAGAACCTGGGAAAGTTGTAGAACAAAAGAGTCAGGAGATCTGACAGGGTGGAAATAACACTTGGTCTTATAAAAATGGAGATGGCTCTATGTATAGGGTTGTAGTGTGGTGAACTATAGTAAGAACAGATCTGGGAAAGAGGTAAAAAAGAGATTAAAACAGAAAATTATCAATGAGATCAATGAACAGACATAAGAGAGAATAGGTAGGGTAAAGAGAAGTCCACTATATTGCTGAATAAAAGATCTGCAGTACCTGGGTCATCACTGCGGCCATCTCCAGTTGAGTTTCCTTCTCACTCATCAGAAGCAAAGCTCTGGCTCTGACCTCCCCGGCCACCTCTTCCACGCTGGCCTTTCTGGCCACCTTTACCACCTCGACCACCCTGGCGACCTTGGCCTTTTTGCTGCTTTCCACGGGAACCCTCCTGGTCTCCCTGGCCAGGACGGCCACCACGACCTTTCTTCCCACCTTTGCCTTTCTTGCCACGCTGACCTTTGAGTTCCTTTTGAGGAATGACTTGGGGTTCCTCTGGTGCTTCCTCATCGGATCCACCGTCTGCTTAACAGCAAGAACACAGAGAGAGAGAGAGAGAGAGAGAGAGAGAGAGAGAGAGAGAGAGAGAGAGAGAGAAATAGCCATCCACTGAATGAAGGCAAGGGTGGAAACTACCATAGCCTAAATTGTGTGAAAAGTGATATTTTACCATTTAAATAGCTTTAGGTAGTGACCAGGGCTCAGTGTTGAGAAAAGAGCATATGTTTAGTTGGTCACTTTGGTCCCTCAAAGTTTATCCTTCCTTCTCCTGTGATATATCTGGAACTATTCTGTTTTGCCATCTATTCTGAACTTGGTCATTGTAATGAGTCAACTCACGTTTTAGATTATAAATGTAAATCTTGTGCTTTCTGTTGTAAATGTATACTCACCACTGTTCTAAGTTGTTTAGTAACTAGTGGCTGTTTCTTGCTCTTTGCTAAGATAAAATTCCTGTAACCCTCACCAATTCCTGCTACCAAAGTTAGCTTACAGAGATGACTTCAAAAGGAAATTAGATGGGCTTTAACTTCTTGTAACCTCCAGGCTATGCAAGGCTGCCTGCAGGTACTCAGGTGCAAATTAACCAAAAACTGAAACAAAAGCCCCAAAAATGTAGTTTGAGTTGTGGTGCCAATCACTCTGAAAGCATTATTTTGTGTCAGACAATGAATTTGTTTACCAAACTGAATGTGGTCATTCAATGGATTTGCTTATCAAACTCAATGTGGTTCCAGGGTTTAAAACCCCTTCCTGCTTCCTGGGCCGCCGCCTTTGGTCCTCTCCTGCGTGAGAGCAGACTGGGGGGCCCTGAGCTCAGTAATAAACGGCTTTCCAAATTCCAACCTGGCTGATCTGGTTCCTATTCTGAGTGACCCATAACAGTCATGATGAATTTGAAATGACCCAAATTCTCATTAGTGTCTGAGAGAAATCACCAGACAAAGTCACTTTTTTGGATTATAGATACACACAATATCTTGACAGATTACTAACCATCCTTTCCTTTCCAATAATAGAAAAATCGTACAATATCCCACTCTCTCCTACCACCTACAAACTCCTGTGTTGACGTTTAAATTTAAAAATGCAAGTAACCCATCTATCTGCACACATCTGTAATCCCAGCACTTCAGGAGGCTGAAGCAGGAGGAGCCCAGCCTAGGCAACTCAGTAACTTAGCAAGATGTCTCAAAATGAAAAATTAGAAGAAAAAACCCAGCTGGGATGTAGCTCAAGGAAAAGACCTTGAGTTCAATCCTCAGTACTACATAGACATAAAAAGTATGAATAAAATGCATCCATATTGTCTTCTTTTGCAAATGTCTGACTCCTATGATAAAATAGAAGGCCTCACCATCCCTTGCATCAACTCTGTCATCTTCTTGTGATCTCTTGGCTGTTGGTCCTGCTTACAATCATCGAACTCATGCTTCCCTGTATCCCTCAGCATATCAGATCTAACATCAAAGGCTTGGAAGATACATGCACCCTTGTTGGGCACAGCCGCTGAAAGCTGCTGCCTTTCATTGTTATCACATTACCAATGAAATGTCATTAAGTATTTTTGAATCTGTTTCTTGGTTTATCTGGTTTTTGTGGTACTTGAGATCAAACTAGGAACTTTGTACATCCCAGTCAGGAGCTTATGCCACTGAGTTGTCTTCCCAGCTAAAACTGTCTTTGTTGCCTGCATAATACATGGAAAAATCAACTTGCCATTTAGAAATCTTTTACTACCTACGTTTTCAATTTTGCTCTTTGACTTTGCTACAATGCTCAATGTTTCAAGTCTACTGAAGCCATGGAGAGATATATATGGATTTAGTATTCAAGTCATACCACGTTCTTCCACTATTCAACTCTCCAGTTCTCTACAGGGTCTTCCCTTTCCACACCTGCCCTGAGCTTCCACAATACCCTTTTCTACCCCTTTCCTTTCTCTCTTTTTAATCTTTCTTTCTCACATACTTTTTCCTTAGTCGTTTATATTCCTTCTACAATGTGCAACCAAAAACTAAACTATCCTAGTTTAGAAAAGAAGTTTTAAATTGTGAACAAATGTCTATTAAAAAATGGTAGGGGGCTGGCCAAATAGCTCAGCAGATTAAAGTGCCTGCAAGCAGGCACAGGGGCGAAGGGTTCAATCCCCTGGCCTACTGTGCCAGGCCCTCCCCCAGGATACACAGAGATGGCAATTGAGACTAGGTGTGGTGACGCGCTCCTGTAATCACAGCTCATTGGAGGCTGTAAACAGGCGGTTCACTATGAGTTTGATCTAGTATACCCCATAGACCCTTCCCTAAAATACAAAAAAAAAAAAAGTAGGAATTTTATGAACCTGGTATGGTAGCCTATGCCTAGAACCCCAACACTTGGGAGGCTGGGGCAGGAGGGTCATGAATTTGAGGCCAACCTGGGTTACATAATGAATTAAAGGCCAGGCTGGACCATAGTGAGACCTTGACACAATCAACAAACAAACAAGAAGTAGGAATTTTAGATTAGACTAATAGCAGTGAGGTTACTAAATTCTATTTAGAAAAATACTCAGTAATTCAGTAAAACTCACATGATAGTTGGGACTCTTCCTCTTTAGGGGATCCTACAAAGAAAAAACAAAAACCAGAATACAATTGGAAATGCCATTGTGAACTGAACAGCAGAGTCACTGACAAGTCAGGGACTAGAAAAAATAACTAAGCATAAACTTTTTCTTTAAGCAACAACATTTAAGGAGTTAAGTTTTCTTAGTCAACTTGGACATTTCTTTGGTCAAATGACATAGCTATTTGTTCCTCTCACGCAGTCTTTTCTCTGCCCCCCCCCACAGTCCTCCACACAGGCCATTCAAATATGTTATGTGAAATGTGCATAACTAATAATGGATTTCAAGTTTACGTACTCTGGAAAAAGTCAACACATAAGTAGACATACAGGGGCTGGTGAGATGGCTCAGTGGTCTAAAGCACCTACTTAGAACAAGCTTAGCAAAGCACAGGGACCACAGTTCAATCCCCCAGCCCCACATGCCAGCCAGCCGTGCCCCCTGGTGGGCTGAGCTGGCCACACACACACACACACACACACACACACACACAAATAAGAATAAATTTTAATAAAAAATAAAAATAAAAATAAAATAAAAAATAAGTAGACATACAGAGTTTTAAGCTAAGGAATGAAATATTAGCCCTGAAAATTTGATAAAGAAGAAGAAATAATACACATCAATAAATTCAATGACTGAATATAATATTTAGGTCAATTATAGAATATTTCTACTTCCAGTTAGTTATATCATTGAACACAAAATCTTAACAAACATAAGGGATTTATGTTTTTCAATTACTGTATCAGTCCCTGTTTGTAGGAAGAATTAGAGTAAAAGCATTCACAAATGAACGGGGATTTGTGTACTGCTAATGTCCAAACTCGACTTAGAGCTCAGACACAAGGAATTTCAGTGTCAAAAGGAAGACAGTTCATATTTAGCACTATTGCTGAAGATTAATAAAACCTACAGGTTTTGTTTATCACTTTGTTTATTCCTTTTGGAATCTCTTTAACCCAATTTTGAGAATTTTTAAATAAAAAAAAGAAAGGAGCACAGTCTTATAGAAAGACTTACCTAAAAAAAAAAGAAAGAAAAAGAAAGACTTACCTAGCACTTGAAGAGCTTCTTCACCTCCAGCACCTAGGATTTACAAGAAAAACAAGATACACTTAAAACATGGTTCCCTAGACCTCATCTATGTATTTGTAGATACAGAAGTAAGAAATTGCTAAGAGAGCTCAAGGGGAAAACACGTGAAAGGTTTGGATTAAATGAAGCAATATTGGCAAGTTAGAACTCTAATTCTGAGCATTGGTTTTAGACAAGGGGTGATGAGGAAGATAAATATTTTTTGGATTTTCTTCATATGGAGACCACCATGATTGTACACAAAATAAAGACAACCCGATACCTACCACAGAATATTACATAAATGAAACCACCTATATCTACATAGCTCTCAGTTCGACCCCAAAATACTCTCACAGCTGTTCCAAAACAACTATTGTTTATTTTTGCACTTATCTGAAACACATTTCAGCTAACGTGCTTCTGTCAGGCTCCCTAAATCCATTTATTGTTCTTTCTCCACCACTCTCTTCACAGTTGCAGAACCTGTGTCTTGCTATCACCTAAAGCATGAATTTTTGCCATGCCTAAAAAAGTCCTCATTCAGTCTGACCCAAAATTTCATTCATAAATATCCCAACTTTGCTGTTCCCCTCACCCTCAACCTTAGGCACTAAAGCAAAATAGCCTTCTCCTCTATCAGAGTAAAAATAACTTTACCTTGGCTCATCAACAGATCATTCTAGTGGCTAGAATATGAGGCCAAAAGAATTTTATCATAAAAGGATCCTTTTTATAGACTCTGACCAAGACTAACACTCCTTTTAGAAAATCTTACCATTTGGGACTCTAATTTCCCACAAGCAACAAATGTGTTTTCTTATAAGCCAACAGGTTTAAAACTCAATCTATTATAATTTTCTGCATTGTTTAATACTCTTAGCAGTAAGCAAGTTAATTTTTAATATTCCTATTTTAACAGGTTGTTTCTATATAATATCAAAATATTTTATAAGAATATAAAAATCTTCTAGGTATCATGGCACATGTCTGTAGTCTTAGCAATCTAGGGGGCTACAGTAGGAGAATCACAAATTAGAGCTCAGCCTGGGCAACTTAGTGGCCAAGTGAGACCTTGTTTCTTCTAATTTTAAATATAGAAAAACTGCTGTGGATACGGCTCAGTGTGAAAGGTCTGAGTTTGAGCCCTAGTACTGGGGCAGCAGGCAGAGTAAAATTTCATTTTACTCTAATTTTTCATTGTCTGTCTTAGAAGATACTTGATATTTGGATTTTATAGTCATTTAAACAATTATTTGGTTTTTTATATTCCACATCTGTATACTTGATAGCATTAAAATATGCCATATATCTTCCATATTTAAAATAAGAACAGATTGAGAATTTGCCTTCTATTTATATTATATATAAATTTCTTTATTATATCTTAAATTATCCATTTCTAGGAAGCCATATGTTTACTATAAAAACTTACAGACAAAGCCAGGTGTGGTGGTGCACACCCATAATGCCAGCACTCACAAGGCTGAGGCAGGAGGATCATTGAGAATTTGAGACCAGCCTGGGCTACAAAGGCCAGCCTGAACTTCATAGTGAGACCCTGTCTCAAAACAACAAAGCAAACAGCTTACTGACAATCAGATGTATGACCAGACCTGTATGTATTTTAAAGTAGGAAAATGGAAAGAGTTAAAAAACACTTGCTTACCAGGAATAATTTGATAAAATAAATTGAAATTTAGTCAAAACTCAATTTTTCTAAATATTTAAAAGTTTAATGTAAATGAAACAAAATATGTAGATGAATTACAGAATTTTCACTTTGCCTAGAAAGCTTCATTTTACCAGGAATGAATTTCTGAAAATTCATATATATACTGGTACTGTAGAATGAAACTTGTACCCACCATGAAGATACCGGCTGACAGCTGAGGTCATCACTGAAGCCATTTGCCATCCTTGAAACAATGTAGAAACTAGTATTACCTCCCTCTCATGGGCCTTCTTCCTCAGTATAAGGTGCTTCTTTTTTTTCTTTTTTTTTCTTTTTTTTTTTTTTTTCCAGAACTGGGGATTGAATTCAGGCCCTTGCATTTGCCAGGGAAGCACTTATTCTAGTGAGCCATGTCCCAGGCCCCGTTGCTTCCTTTCTGAGAAGCATTGAGCCAGCTCTTTTCTGTGAGCCACACCCTGTGGTCCATTTAGAATTCCATCTGTAGGCTTACCTCCCTCTAAGTTCTGAGCCGAGCTCAGAGCCAGCAGAGCCAACACCAGCAGGACCATCAGCATCCTGACCGTAGCCATGGCGTCCTCTCCTTCAGTGCTGGAAGGACTTCGGATACAACCTTTATGCGAGCAGGAGAACAAGGGCACCTTTGAAGACTTTGGAGTGGGCACTTCTCCTTCCTGTCTAGCTTTCCATTTGAGCCTCAGCCAAACTTCTTGAATTGCATTAAAAAGCTGATCAGGCTCCTCAAGGAAAAGTCAGGAATTTCTCCCAAGTTCTTTAAAATGATTTATTATTCTTCTCAACTATTATGTTTCATTATAAACTTAACAATTGTCTTCCATGTTTTCGTCTTACATTCAGAACTATGGCTCTCTGTTCTTCCATACCTAACATTGTGCAAGCTCCGTACACGCCTATTTCCTTCAAGCCCTCTTCTCAAAAAATGAGCCAACAGCATCACCATGCAATGAAAGGCTACTGAGCCACAAACTCAAAACACAGCACAGCATCAATACAGTGTCAGACAGGTTGTCTTACCTGGCTTGCAAAAAAATAAAATAAATTCCCAGTAAAAGACAAAATCCCACCTTAGACTTCTGAAGATTGTGGTTATTTAGAATATGCTTCAGTTCATAAACTGAATGGGCTATAAAACCTTAAAACTAGAAATTATCACAATAATGAGAACACTGGGAAATACTATCTGCTTTAAGATTCACTGAGTAAATAAAAGTGCTTAGCTTGGAAAGAGAAGAGGGTGAATAAACAAGATAGCTGTCTTGGTACAAAGAGAAGTTTTGTTTCTATATTCTGGAATATGCAGAAAGAGCTACTGATCAATACAAGGGGAAATGTGTTTGTTAACACAATAATTTTTTAGGGTTATTCATTTTAAAGTTTGCTAAATTAGTTTTCACTATTTTAAAATAATATAAAATAATTTTTGATTACTAAAACTTAAAATAATGCATTGAGTTCCCAGGAAATTAATTTCAACCACCTGTTTATGTGCAGCAACTAATGGATCTACAGCCAGAATGTAAAACCCGAGAGTCCTTGAAGTGGAATCATTTGTGTGTAACTATTCCCTTAAAATGCAATTAGTAGGGGACAGAATATAGCTCTGCACCACAGTGCCTGCCTGGCAAGTACAAGGTCCTGAATTTGACTACTGGCACCAAAAAAGAAAAAAAAAAAAATGTGAGCAGTGGAAAGAAGCCTTCTCCCTTCCCATAAGCAAAATACAAAGGGTTGCAGGACTTTCTGTTCATTCCAATAATCAAAATCTAATAACTATTTTGACATAAAACAGTCTCAGTTCTATACATCCAACCCAATTGAAAGGCTCAGCCCCAACAGAATTGCATTAAAAAGCTGAGTGTTACTTTTGTTTTTTGAGTTTTTGATCCTTGGCATTTATTTCTTTTTTTTCCCATGATTTTATTGATAAACAAATAGCAATGAGACAGTTTCAAATCAAATTGGTAAGACAGTTTCAATAAATAACACATTGCATAATTCTTCCTAGTGGTTAATTGCTGTACAAGATGCGGACATGATATCCTATTTACAAACACCATTAGAACAAATCACTCTATCCATTAAGAGAATGTAACCATGTATCTATCCTAACCACTTTGAATACACAGATACAAAATGGACATTCATCTGTATACGGTTTTTTGTTAAGTTCCGTTATTTGAATATTATAGGTGTGTAAACTCAAAAAATATTCTAAAAGAGTCCAGTAGCCCATAATAGTATTAAGACTTCTGCTTGACTGGCAATGTCAGAAATTGTTGACCTGAGTCCCCTAAAGCTCAACATAACAGCATGGTTTTACTTCTTATATTTCGTTTTTATACTTTTCTTCTGGATGGTTAAGACCAAGGTAAAACCTGTGCTCCTGCTGAGGAAAACACCAGGTCCATCGGTGCAGACTTCCTCACAAGGCCTATGTAACAGGCTCTTCCACAGGCCTCCTGTGTAGTTACTCCAAATAACTTTGGGACTTTTAATAACTTCCCAATCAAAATACTTGGCTTTCCTCACAAGCCTTACATTTCCTTTATTGCTCAAACAAGACAAATATATAATGTTTAATGTTTCTTAATCTATACTCTGGCAATCTTATTTTTTATTTGTCCCAATGCAACATTTAAAGTTTGTATAAACTGACAATTTGTATAAACTTTCAAACAATAAAAGATACTACTAAT